TCATAAAACCACCAATCGCCAATATTTATTCCTTGCCAATAAATCATCTTGTACGGTAGTTTTGTCATAGTCTAATTAAGATGTGAGGGTGTTGGGTGTGGCTGCAAACTGACAGTGCAGCATGCAGTTGTTACAGTACAAAGAAAGTGTCAAATCTTGATTGCTAGAGTAAAATGGTGTCTCTTGGGCTAACTGCTGGAAGTCTTGGGCTTCTACTCAATGCACACACACATTTATTAAGCTCTAAACTACTCTTCCTAAGGACAAGCGCCTCGTGTAAAGTCAAGAGGTAAGTGATTTTAGGCAATCATATCTTCAAAACAAAGAATGTTCCACCAAAACGCTACGTTATTTTTTTCAGATCGGGTTTTTGTGACTCTCTAGAGATACTAAGAAGCCCTGTTACTCGAAGAACGAAAAAATTCATCGAGAACCTGCTACATTTGGCAAGATTGATGGTTTTTGGTGCCTTCCACTGCCGGTTATGCTTGATAAAGTAGTAGAAAGTAACTTTTTCTAGCGCATGGGGAAGTTTTGGTGACTGTAGGAGAGCCCCTTCTAAAACCACAGTGCTTCAAAGTGAGAGTTGCGGTGGACAGAATGAATGAATGACAGATAACACATTTAGCTACATAGTCCTCATCCACGCTAATCACTGGTAAGGCCAATAATATCTAACATACCTTTATCCAGGAATGTTGAGTGATGTTAAAGATCCAACAATCATCTAATGTATCAGAATTCTCATCCCGCCCACCACTTATTACTAGCATAGGACAGTCTGATCCAGTTATAATAATAGCACCTGCATGTAACCATCTGCCCACAGGCCATTGGTCTATTGCTTCAGGTTTCTTTATACACTGCCAGGACTAAAAATAAAATAACCACACCCATTAACAATGACATTAGTGTGTGTGTGTGTGTGTGCATAAATTCAGTACACATACCACAGTGCTAATTGATACCCCTATTATATAAATATTGTTAGTTCTAGTAGTCGTATTATTATCATCAGTCTTTACTCCACCAAACAGAACAGCTCTAGTGTTGTTGATCTTTTCAATGATGAAGTTATTAGCAGGTGGTATACACTGACCAGCAATTGAAGGATTATTCCATTTTCCTAAATTATTATTATTAACATATTAATTTCAAACAGTACTATAAAATCTTACTTGATGATAGATTATACATTGAGTGCTCATTAGTACGCCAGCCTCCAGTAATTAACTTAATATATTTATAATGAGGTAGTTGTACAGCTGGTTTAGATCCTATTCCTCCTATCATTAGTAAATGGTGTACTCCATCATGTTCAAATGATATCATTCCACCATAACCTCTCATCATAACTCGTCTAGCTGCATCAGTTGGTTCTAACTCTCTCCATTGAAGACTAACAGTATCCAGTTGTGTAATACTGTTGTAATAGCAGTGGTCATGGCCACACCATCCCCCAAAATAATACAATTGATCATTTATTGCAGTACAGGAGTACCATCTCACTCCTAATGGAGGAGTACCAGTAGTACCTCTAGTGATCCATTGACCAGTTGAAGGAGTAAAGTGCTGTATATTACTAGTGATCCTTCTCTTCTCTTCACTATCATGTACACTAGGTGAACCATCCTCATAACCACCCCATACATATAGTGAATCACCTACTAGTACTGATAAAGTGCAGTGATGAGCTCTTTTATTTGGATAATCTATATAAATATCAATCATTCACAATACATAGTCTGCATTCAGGCATAGATATTAGAAACTACGTAAGTGGAATAGGAAACTAGCTCAAGTGATCCATTCAAACCATTATCATCCACGCAGCCAATGACCATCAATAAATTTTGGTGAGCGTGGTCAAAAATGGCTGCTCAGCGAGGAAGACTGTACTTAAACGAGACACCTACGGTGCATGGCCTCGCCCCTATAGCTGCTATGGTGCATGCCCGCACTGCAATAGCTGTTTGATTATCAGCATGAAGAGAGTCTGCTCAATACTAGCTTCCTGCAGTTGCACTTGCTCTTAAATACCTGCAGAAGTAGCAGCACTGCAGCACATACATGCAAGCAGCTCCAGCCCCTCCCATGCATTTAGATTGAAAGGTGTGGCATTCCATCATACTGGAATGATTGGCAGCAAGAAGACAATGTGAGAAAGAAGCTTCACTTTTTCTTTACTAATCTGCAATATGATAAACTTGCTGACAAAAAAAGTTGCTGCTTTTGTATATTTGAGATAGTATAGGTACTTTAGTACCTATAACCCAGCAAGTTGTTGCTCTAGCGCTGCACAAATGAAGCACCATGGTGCATGGACTCGCCTGCTGAGATTCACATGAGGGATAATGTGTTACTTGTACTGCCCTCATCATGATATTATATAAGCAACTTGATATTTGAAAAAAAGGATAATAGATTTTGACAAAGTGCAAAGTGCAACAATGCAATTACTGCACTGATCCATAAAATAAATTTTAGGTGTGGTCACTGGCAGCAGTGCAGTGCACTGAGATAAACATGGCACGTGGGTAGGAGAAAGAAGAAAAGCTGAAATTTATTTTAGCATTTGAAGCTCTATTCAAAGAAGGAGTAAGCACAAAAAATTTGCCTAGATATTTAAAAGAGACTGAGATAGTTTGGTTGCTCCTGCTTTCCCCAGTGCTGCCTGAAAATTTTTCGAAGAGGCTAAATCACAAACTTTGAGCAACTGTAACTCGCAAACAAAAAAGAGATTAGAAAATTCCCACATATTTTTTAATCTATGTACTTTTCTCTACCTATCAATGCTAATCTTGACCAAATAGAGTGAAATATGAAGATTTGGCTACTGGCTAGGAAAAGTGGTCTATTCTTGAAAATATTCGGCTTTTGATACCACGGATTGCTATGAAAACACAACGGAGCTAAATAAATTATCTTTTTCTCAAATCTTAAAAAGAATTATAAATCAGGAGAGCTCAGTAAAAAAGATATTGACTAGGAATTAACAGGAATTTTCGTGACAGAATGACAGAATGACAACCCAACTGCATAGTACCCGCCTACGCAAGCGTGGTGAGTCCAATGAGTGACCTCAACAATTTCAAGTAAGTATAACTCTTCATCAAGTAAGATTTAGAGAAATCTGTTCATATTTTTTAAAGGCCATGTTCTAATCTACTGAAAAATGCTACCAGCTATCTCTAGAGTGCCAACACAACGGAACTTGGCTCAACTACTCGATTTTCTTACTTTGAAGCTTCTGTACCTAGCACTTGTATTTGAGCAACACAAAACAGTTAAGAAAGACTTTTCCACGTCAAAAAGAAAGATCTAGGAGCTCAGAACACGCTGTGCTAAAGTTATTGTTTATTAAAAACAAATTTCAGTTGTACAGAATAAATGAATGACAGACACACACAACGACTACCTATACCTCGCGTAGGCGAGGCCAATAATGTTGATTTTGTGTTATTATTATTTTAATATTATAGTTGCAAATTTGTATAGTTGCAAATTTGCAAAACTTTATGTACCTGCTATTTCATCACACAGGAAATAATAGACTAACAAGATCATTGTGCATAGGACTATCATAGTTTCATTTAATGATTTGCTAAATAGATGAGTAATCAGGGCCAAAGCCAGGAACTTAAAAAGGGGGGTTGGTGTATTGCTGTGTGCAAAGCGGGCAGCAAAAAGTTCGACAAAAATGGGTGTGGTCTCAACTTACACACCTCAGCCTTGTGCTAACTCAGCAAAAATGGCTGCCTGTGCTTCTCAACTAGCCATTAGGGACAGTACATTATCATTCCGTAATCTACAGGTAAATGGAGTTTTAGAGTCTTCATCTGTATACTATACACAATATAGAAATAAAGTATAGATTAGATATGACAATCAGCGTGGTTAAGGCAGTAGGTTTGTGGTGGCACAGTGAGCGTGGTTAAGGCAGTAGGTTTGTGGTGGCACAGTGGGGAAGGTGTGGGGCAGGATGTGGACGTGGGCACTGGTTCAGGCTATTATGGCAAATTGCTTCTCTTCTAATTTTTTTTTTTTACTTTTAGAAATTGAATTTTTTATCTTTTCTACTTAGCTATGTGTCCTAGTTATGTTAGGAGTCCCCTAGTTAGCTATTGTTTTAGGGTTTAGGGATTAGGGTGGCGGATTTTTAAAGCATGCCTAGTCATATCAGGAGTTCCCTAGTTATATTAGGAGTCCCCAAGGTTGGTTTAGGGTTTAGTTTTTTAGAGCGTTCCCTAGGTTTTATAAGTCCCTAGTTAGCTTAGCAGTCCACGACAAAATTTAAGTTCAATTTTGCACCAATGCGCATGTGCACAAGGTTGTTTTACGGACATTTACAGAATGATAATGTACTGTCCCTAATGGCTTGTGCTTTTTACTGCTGTTAAAATGCTAATACAGTGTTGTTCTTCAAGACAGGAGCTAATCTAAAAAATTTTTGCAGCTATAACAGGGGGTTCATCGGAACCCATCGCTGGCTATGGGCCTGGTAATATCGGTTGATGTTGTATGAATGGAATTATAGGAGTTAGTATTTTCATTCATGTATTGCAATTGACTACTTAATAACCAAAAATTGATTTATTATATGAAAAGCAAGCCACAAGACACACGCTCAAGTTTGTTTGACGCCCATTCCAATCACAAATGTTGTCCATGGGGATAATCCTAGTTTCATATCCCAGTTACATAGTCTCTGATGCAGGAAATGATTACAGACCCCACCCAATAGTTAACACAATATTGCAGCAGAAAGTAATTAACAGAAGGTGTGGCTCAATGTCCAGCCATATCCCATCTTGGGTGGCAAGACAGCATGTTGGGAGTATGCAGAAATGTCTAGAGATGAACTTACACTATCAAGAGTAGCTTTCTCAACAATTGCATGCTACAAATTACTACAAAAGTCAGAAGTCATGCAATAGGTAAAATAGCTCCTTGGCTTGCTTTTGCTAATTAGATCCAGCACTGTTACCATGATTACATTATAAACCACCTATACACCACATAATTAAAACTTTGATAATATATTGCAGAAATCAAGGATTGCCTGTTTGCGTTCTGCAGATGGTGAGTCAATCAGGCAAGTAAAGAAATGCTTCTAGGCTAGCTTTTTTTAATGCATATAAATTTAGCTGCCATGATTACTCCAAGTCCAACTTCAGTATCTAGCCAATGTTGACTGCCAAGAAAAGCTAAAATGAACTTACATTACTGCTTCCTTTTTCTTGATGTCAGCAAGCAAGTTGAGTAATCAGTAAAATAATAAATCCACTACAAATCTACTATTCTAACTTGCCTGTGGTGTGTGGGCATGTTTATTAACATTCCATGCCCACGCAATTCAAAACAATGAAAACACAGATCATATTATTAAAGGTGAAAATTGCACAAGAGACCATTGCACCCAAGATGGCTGACAATAAGCCACACCATCATCCTTAATTACTTCTGCAATCTGCATCTGCTGGAAGTGCCTGCAACTCCTCTATTGTGAATAGTATAGAGCTCTTGCACGGATGTAATCAATGGGAGGCTGTGGCTAAAATTGAGCTAATTTGTCCACCATGTTGGGTGGCAAGAAGGCCAAGAATGTACATGGTGGAATGGGGGGAATGGAGAATAAAATCTGAATAAATTCTGCAGTTGATATTACAGGCATTCAATGCAAGGTAGGAGATGAAGGTATTGAGTGAAGAACTCTCTAGTAATATTCTGCAGCAAAGTATAATATCTCTTTGACAAAAAATCCCAGTTTGCTCTATTCGTTGCATGTACATTCTTGCCACTCAACATATGGCCGAGAGGAAGCTCCACCTATCTCGTTCATTAGCATCTATGATTACATGCATAATACATCCATGCAAGAGCTCTATGGCTGACTTTTTGTACAACCCAAGCCAACTTGGAGCTAAATAGCTACTGAGAGGAATGCATTGGTACTGTATGGTTGGCAAATTTTGTGGGGTATTAATTTTCGTTAATTTCATGGCTCATTTTTATTCACAAAATTTTAACCCCTACTACCTACACATAGAAACTAATCAATGGGCCATGCAGAGCTCTAACTAGGCTACCATATGATAGCCGGAAAGTTTTGTGGCAAAAAACTTTCGTGGTTTGGAGGTTCCTGGCCTATTCGTGGTTTTTATTTTCGTGGATCATCATTGAGCAGCCACGCCTGTCATTAATTTGCTATAATACCACACCTTTTCAATAATAATTAAAATTATTCGTGGTTTTTAATTTTGTGGTCCTTCTAAACCACAAAAGTTTTTGACCACAAAAGTTTTTGGCCACAAAACTTTCCAGCTATATGATGGTATTTCCAAGCCAGTGGAGGAGCCAGAGTCTTTGTCTATTACTCCATATTCCACTATAAGCTACTTGCTCTACAGCACTAGCTTCCAATACTGTATTGGAAGCTAGTGCTGTAGATTCAAGTGACAAAAGTTTGCTAACTGCCAGCCACGAAAATTTGTACCTATGAATATTAGCTTCTAAGGAAATTTTGGAGAAAACGCAAAATATTGGGCCCACGAATATTACCAACCGTACGGTATGTGTATTTTACGACGTATTTTACACAGGTGAACTCAAATGGACTTTAGTACTTACTTTTCCCTGTGTAATTCCTTGAACCAAACAACCAAGCCATTGTGCGATTGTGAACGAGGGGTTCGCAACGGACTTTTAATCTCGTAGAACCTCCTTGGTGATCCAGGAAAATCCAATCTTCAATCTTGGAAGAATTCTGTATTCCGGCAGGATCTTTAAGTTTTTAAATTTTAACCCAAGAAAATCCTAATTAAAACCGAGAATATCCGGAGTCAAGACGACCATACGTCGACCAGAATAATAAAAATGGCGCCTATCGTGAAGCCTGTGCCTCGGCCTGTGCTCTTCAATTTTGCAGCAAACGCTCAGCAGCCTCAGCAAGATAAGACAAAACTGCTGTATAAAAACTTCTCTAGCACTCTAGCAGCAGAAAGGGTCATTACAGCACAACAATAGCGTGGCTCAGGCGCTGAGCCCCTTTAAGCGTTTTGACATTCAGTTCACTAGTATTACTGAGGTATTATTACATTATATATATTTATTATTATTATCATTATTATAGGAAGAGGCTTTCATGTACAACTGATTGCCATCTACTAATGACAACTGGATACTATATGTACAGGTAATGTAATTTAACCTACATGTATGGCTAACCTTGCTTAAAATTAAGAAAAATATTAATTTTGCTCAATTTTTCAATGCCGATTACTGTATTATTATTATTATTATTATTATCATAGGTCCTTACTAAGAACAATGCTTATCGTGTCTCTAACTGGACGACCCCAGTGATCCTCAGTGTCCCTGGTGTATCATTCAGTGTAGCAGCTGCTAGTAGTACCAGTAGGGTACTCATTAATCCATCTGCTACTAGCACTGTTAGTGGGAGTATAAGTCCTTCTGATAGTCCACCTGTTATATCTGATCCTAACGCTGCTGATGGACCTAATAATGGTTAGTATTAATGTATCAATGTGAATACTATGCTTTATATGCTTAAGGATTGTATAGGGAAATTATATGGGCTATAGTACAGGGTATTTGATCAAAAATGACTAGGAGAGAATTCTCCATTTTTATAACTTTATCTGATACATATACATGTTTTTATGTTGTGTAGAAAGTTTGAGCTGATTCCAATTAAAATTGGATTTTTTAGGAATTTTTAAAGTTGCTCCAAAATCGGACCAAAGTCCCTGTACTATAGTACAGGGTCACAGGCCAAATTTTGCCAAAAATGATAAGTAGAGAATTCCTCATTTTTATAACTTTATCTGATACGTATACATGTTCTTATGTTGTGTAGAAAGTTTGAGCTGATTCCGATCAAAATTAGATTTTTAACAAATTTTTAAAGTTGCTCCAAAATCGGGCCAAAGTCCCTGTATTATAGTACAGGGTCACAGGCCAAATTTTGTCAAAAATGAAAAGTAGAAAATTCTCCATTTTTATAACTTTATTTGATATGTATACATGTTCTTATGTTGTGTAGAAAGTTTGAGCTGATTCTGATCAAAATTAGATTTTTAACGAATTTTTAAAGTTGCTCCAAAATCGGACCAAAGTCCCTGTACTATAGTACAGGGTCACGGGCCAAATTTTGCCAAAAATGAAAAGTAGAGAAATATTCATTTTTATAACTTTATCTGATACATATACTTGTACTTATGTTGTGTAGAAAGTTTGAGCTGATTCCGATCAAAATTTGATTTTTACTATTTTTTGCTAAAATATACTTGTACAGTACATATACATGTACATGTAACCTCTGCATGCATAATATAATGTATTATAATTATATTATCATTTGTTCTTCCAATTCTCTTTATTTACTGATAGATTGGTTGATTCCAGTGTCTGGTGTGGTTGCTATTGTCCTGATACTGGTACTGGCCATTGGTATAGCCTCAGTATTGCTACTGGTGGCATGTGTACAGACTAAGAGACTGGGGAAAAGAACCCACTCTTCAAAATCAGCACTGGTATGATATAATACACACACAAAAATATATAAAAAAATAGTTTTAAAAACAATAACTAAATGAAGATAAATAAAAATAAATAAATTAATGAAGCTTTAAAATTATTAATTAAATTATTATTATTATTATTGATGACAGGTAAAAAATTTAAATTATTATTAATTATTAATTTATTATTTTTTGTAGTGTAATAAATTAATAGTTTGTGTACTCCCAAACAATTTTATAACTATTTTTAATAACTATTTTAATAGGTATTTTTAATATACATGTAGTTTTTAAAAATAATAAATAAATAAAGATAATTAAAAATAAATAAACTTTAAAATTATTATTAATTATAAATTTTTGAATTATTTAAATTAAAATTATTATTATAACTATTAAAAATTTAGTATTTTAATATAAAATTATATATTTTATAACTATTTTTAATAACTTGTTTAGACGGCTTCTGCTGCCTGGTCCGAGTTTGATTCAAAGGCCGTGGAGAAAGGGGCATTAATTGGAATAGGTACGTTTGGTCCGGTACACAAGGTCAGTGTCCCTGTGGGAGGAAAAGGAAAGAAAGGGAAAGAGACGAAGGAGGTTGCTGTCATCTCATTAAAATGTAAGTAAAATTAATATAATTATTATGGATAATGATTATTATTGTTTATATCATATAGTGCAAAATTTTCTAGGGTTGTAAATTTCGCGAATTTGCCTAAAAATCTATTTCATGGAAGTAATTTTCGTGAATCTTCAAAAAATCACAAAAATCCACGAAATTTATAGCCCTTGAAAACTTTGCACTATACAGTATTAATACATGTACATGAACATGTAGTACCTATAATGTTTACATGTGTAATATAAACTACAATTTAGTAACTTCTCTCTCTCTCTCTCTCTCTCTGTCTCAGCTTCAGCTACTAAAAGAGACGCCGATGATTTCTATGATTATTTGGAATTACTAAAAATATTGTCCAATTTCAAAGACTCCTCCTCCCTCCCTGTCCTCCAGTTGGTTGGGTTCAATACAACAGAGACTCCTCACTACATCATGACTGAACTATCAACTCATGGAGACCTACTCACCTACCTTATTGATATCAGACAAAATGTAAGGGAATGTTTTATGTATTATTGAATTTATCGTAAATTTATTTTTGTTATACTATTTTTTATTTATTTTTTTTACCTACTTACTTGTACATTATTATTATTATTATTATTATTATTATTTATTTATTTATTTATTTATTTATTTATTTTATTTTTAGATGGAAGGTGGTAGTATTCATGATGATATTCCAGCTAGTACTACAACTGGTGTACTACCTTATCGAGCTGATAGACTCAATCCTTCTGATGTACTCTCCTTTGCTAAACAAATTGCATCTGCTATGGTAATAGAGGGAGAGAGGGAGAGAGAGAGAGAGAGAGAAAGATAAGTGTGGAGACAGATTGAAAGAGAGAGAGAGCTGGAGAATAGTATTATTCTTTTTTTAAATTCCCCTCTCCCTCTCTCCCCTACAGGATGCACTCTCAGATACTGGTATAGTCCACAAAGACTTGGCCTGCAGGAACATATACCTTGACTCAGGCCTCAATCTAAAGGTGGCATTCTTTGGTATAGTCCCGGCCTCAAGAGGACTCAAAAGAGACTCGGTATATCCTCTTGATCTTCCTCTCCGCTGGATGGCCCTTGAAAGTATCCTTGATAATAATAACTTCACTACAGCCTCTGATGTATGGGGCTTTGGTGTTACCATATGGGAGATTGTTACATTAGGTTAGTTTGATTATTAATAGAAATTAATGGTAGTGTGTACATGTATGGAGGGTTTCCCACAAAGCATGCTAAGTGAGCTAAACAGCATGAGCTTCATGAGCTGACAAGCACTACAATACAGTACATGGCATTTGGAGCAACTTTAAAAGTTCATAAAAAATCCAAATTTGATCGGAATCAGCTTAAACTTGATACACAACATAAGAACATGTATATGTATCAGAAAAAAATTATTAAAATGGAGAATTGCCTACTTTTCATTTTTGGCAAAATTTGGCCCATGACCCTGTACTATAGTACAGGGACTTTTACCCAATTTTGGAGAAATTTTAAAAATTTATTTAAAAATCCAATTTTGATCGGAATCAGCTCAAACTTTCTACACAACATAAGAACATGTATATGTATCAGGAAACATTATAAAAATGGAGAATTCTCTACTTTTCATTTTTGCCATACATTATAGCACACTACATACACGTAATTTATATATACAGCATGTACTATTAATATGAGGATGCCCCTTCATTAATTTCCCCCTTGTACACATACTTTAGGTGGGTTCCCATATAAGGGCATACCTGATAATAGTATCCTCTCCTACCTCATGAATGGAGAGAGACTGAGGTGCCCAGCAAACTGCTCCACTGAACTGTAAGATCTCTCTCTCTCCCTCTCTACTCCCTCTCTCTCTCCCCTCCCTCCCTCTCTCTCCCTCTCTCCCACCTCTCTCTCTCTCTCCCTCCCTCCCACTCTCTCTTCCTCCCTCCCTCTCTCTCATTCTCCCACTTTTTCTCCTTCACCTCTTCA